TAATTATTAAAGAACGAAAGAAATTTCTACTTAGCTTTTGTACCTTGCAAATGATTTTGCATCATGATCCAAAGTCTACTAATATTGTTTTAAATCTTTAAGTTTATTATTAAAATGTATTTATTATATTAGTCTCTATAAATTTATAAGATTGAAAACAATATCATCTTTAACATGCAATACAAATGATGTAAAATAAAAAAAGATTTAGACATTGTAAACAAAATTGCTACGTTCACATAAGAATTTTATAAACACTTTAAGTTAGGCTTTCACGTTAACTGAAAACCTCCGGTCAGTGGAACACAGGTCCATCTTGACCTAGAGTCACAAACGTTCCACTTAAAATCCGATTTTCAAGCAGTCAGTGTAAATTATATTTTAAAAGAAATATAAACTACACAAGAATGTGAATGTATCTAACCATGGTTACCATAAAGTAGCTGGAGACGTCCACCATGCAAGGGTTAATCGAGCACTGACTAAAATTTCGTCGAAGTTACTAAAATTTACATAAATATGACTATGCTGTTAGACGCAGATATTTGTTCTCCACCGAGCCAATAGACTTCATTAACCCTAGAAAGATAACCATATGACAACGTACGTAAAAGATAACCATACGCTTCAGAGGCGCATGCTTTTCTAAGGCGTCAATTTTATACTAACAATGGATATTTATTTAAGTTAATCTAGTCACTTTAAAGGTTTGGCATTATTGTAAAAATAAAATGCATTTATATTATATTTTTTTATATTTTAAGTAATTTTAAACTTAAATCACTAGACCTCTATGAAAAATTAACAAAAATCAACAGTCTTCGCAGGCGCCTCTGCGACGTAGGTTATCTTTCTCGGGTTAACCTGATTTGCAGTACGTAGATAATAACCATGTTGAACGAATGCTCTTCGAACGAATCGAGAAATGACTGTGTACATATGTACGAGCGGATCCATAGAACTACAGAGGAACTCGGCGAAAATTGTTCATAGATATCGATGACGTGCATTAGTGAATCACGCAGAGTCGGGACTGTTGTTTCTAACAAGGAACTTGACATTCCTGAGGAAACGAGAATTTATTATCGCTTTACGTATTCTCCGTGTTTTCCATAAAAGAAGCAGCGCATCGTCTCCCAGAAGATAATTCATCGCTCTGTGCACGATTTAACCGGATGATTTATTAGTTGCTTCATTTACAGTAAAGGCCGATGATTGTACACAGAGGATGAAAAGTTTTCCCGTAGAAGTGGAAATATGATTAATGCGATCGGACAGAATCGTGTGCTTTCGAGCTGTGCTTACACCTGTATTCGCATTGTTACACGACATTTCCTTGTTTCTCAATTTTTTGCCATCATTAGATCGGATCGATCATAAATTACCATCAGCAGGTTCAACGCGTTACTCTACAATCATTTTGTTCATGAAATGTTGTTTGTAAATGTCACGCGAGCTAGAACGTAAATAACGCCGCATCAAGTACGTTTTTCTAGCGATCGTAAGAAGCGCGACTCATGGAGTCACATAATAAAAAAGTTTTATCGCAAGAAATGTGCGCAAACCAGTCGTCATTTACATGAAATATTTAATAATCTATCGACGATCGATTAATGAGTGAGTAATCAATTGCCGACATTCCAATCGAGCAACTTTGGTTGAACAGTAATGCGTCTATATTTAAATCAAGGTAATTCCGATGCGTTAAGTATGTTTAAAGTAGAAAGACGGATGGACAAGATTACAAAACGACTTTTTGCTTTATAGCCGCGGATAAAGCGGGACCTATCGGTTCTAGAAAATAACTCATTTTATTCAACAAGACATTTAGTACAATGGAATTGCGATAATAAGCAATACGGGACGCACAGTTAGGTAAAACACGCTTAAAAGTATCGAGTATTGCGTAATAATTATTATTAACGGAGAATCAACTTGTAATTATGGTGCATTACAGTCAATTTAACCGTCTTACGGTCAAGTGGAAAATTGACGACAGTATACACTGCTCGAACTTTGACAGGATATTGTGTGTATCACGTAATTGCACGTTTCTAATGAAAGGTTGATTCCAAGTCACCGACTGAGCTTACTGCGCGGCATGCTCCCTGACTATTCATGATATTTAAAATCAGTTGATGCTATCGGTATCATTGCCATCGAATCCGGGTAGAAGAAAAGTTGAGATGGCCGTTAATTCTCGACGGATTATCTGGTCGTTAGCAACGAAACCGGAGACGTCTAGTGATTGAAATCGTTATTGAGGAACTCGCATCGTGTATAGAACTTCGGATAGAATTTCGTAATGGATCTCGGTAATTGAGTAATAGTTATCTATTGAAATCTTTTCGATTAGTCGGAAATTGACTGCCAATGGCTGAAATTAATTAATAACTGATAGATGCGGCATTTGATATATTCAAGCCTCTTTTTCGTCATTGAGAAATAAAAGCAATTTTTATTAATCATCTTATCTTATATTATCAGATCTTATATTATATTATCATAATATATGATATACTAATACGGTTGCTCTTATTTAGGTTAATTGGCAGCATGAGATACGTGTGTAACTAAAATTCTAAGATCTAAAGAAATAACGAGCTACTCTTCAAATAATCATATATAATCAAAATAGCGAGTAAAAATTGCAGAATATGTACGCCAAATGACATTATTTAGTCATGTTTTGAATAATAATATTTCTTATATCAGATAAATAACTGTATAGAGTGTAAAAGATATAATTTTATTAATGCTTATCTTTTAAACAAAGAATGTCAATAGAAACTGTTACGAATGTTTTGTTCATACCTGGAAATGAATGAATAGTCCCTGAATCTATTCTAAACATCTCTATATACATACTTCCTTTACGTAAAGACAATTATTTTCGCAACGTGGATGCTTCAGAGCGTTCGACTAAATACGTTTTGCCAACGAGAGTATGTACTTAACGTCAGTGAATACAAACTAGCAGCCATTTCTCCAAGCAAAAGGCTGGATATCTCATTGTCAGCTCTGTTAACTCTCTGACCGCGGGCGATTATATGTATTTCCCTTCCGTATAAATCGCTGGCTCTTCCTATATGTGATATGTATGAAATACTAACCTCATCTTTAATTTGAGCAATGAAACATCTCGTTAGAAATATATAATTTTCACAATTTTTCGAAACCACTTAATTAACACGTTCCGTGCCACGTGTACCATCGATGGTACACGCTTGCATGTTTATTTAGTGAACTGAACAAATTGTTTACAAGAAATTTAGAACCGAAGAATCAATTTCCACCGCAAGAATGGGCGTTGATAAGTTTTTGTTACGTTGTTATGTGTACGAGAATTAATAATTGCACGTAATACATCAGGTTTTAGTAAAATATCAAAGTGTNGCATTTGATATATTCAAGCCTCTTTTTCGTCATTGAGAAATAAAAGCAATTTTTATTAATCATCTTATCTTATATTATCAGATCTTATATTATATTATCATAATATATGATATACTAATACGGTTGCTCTTATTTAGGTTAATTGGCAGCATGAGATACGTGTGTAACTAAAATTCTAAGATCTAAAGAAATAACGAGCTACTCTTCAAATAATCATATATAATCAAAATAGCGAGTAAAAATTGCAGAATATGTACGCCAAATGACATTATTTAGTCATGTTTTGAATAATAATATTTCTTATATCAGATAAATAACTGTATAGAGTGTAAAAGATATAATTTTATTAATGCTTATCTTTTAAACAAAGAATGTCAATAGAAACTGTTACGAATGTTTTGTTCATACCTGGAAATGAATGAATAGTCCCTGAATCTATTCTAAACATCTCTATATACATACTTCCTTTACGTAAAGACAATTATTTTCGCAACGTGGATGCTTCAGAGCGTTCGACTAAATACGTTTTGCCAACGAGAGTATGTACTTAACGTCAGTGAATACAAACTAGCAGCCATTTCTCCAAGCAAAAGGCTGGATATCTCATTGTCAGCTCTGTTAACTCTCTGACCGCGGGCGATTATATGTATTTCCCTTCCGTATAAATCGCTGGCTCTTCCTATATGTGATATGTATGAAATACTAACCTCATCTTTAATTTGAGCAATGAAACATCTCGTTAGAAATATATAATTTTCACAATTTTTCGAAACCACTTAATTAACACGTTCCGTGCCACGTGTACCATCGATGGTACACGCTTGCATGTTTATTTAGTGAACTGAACAAATTGTTTACAAGAAATTTAGAACCGAAGAATCAATTTCCACCGCAAGAATGGGCGTTGATAAGTTTTTGTTACGTTGTTATGTGTACGAGAATTAATAATTGCACGTAATACATCAGGTTTTAGTAAAATATCAAAGTGTGAAGATTCGAGTAAAAAAAGCTCGGCACGGAACGTGTTAATCGTATTAGTGTCGCTGGAAACCGCATACGTCTTTTTGGATTAATATTTAATTTAAAGGAGAAGTACAATTTGTCACACGAAACGTATTATTCTTAGCGCTTTTATTAGTATATTGTCATAATTAACAAATACGCCCTCAATCATTTTTTGTCGAAAGTAATTTTCAGAGATTTCGTTTAAATTTTTTAGACTAAAAATGTTGAAAAGTGTTGAATGAACTTATTTTAATTTGGCATTAAGAATGCAAACAATGAAATAGTAGTAATACAGAATGTTTGTATGCATACAAATATTTCTTTTTGCATATGGATATCATTTTGAAAAAATCTTGGTTCATGCTTTTCCTGCCTTCATTTATTACTTTTGAATATAAATGGCATGATTTCAACGGTGCCTCAATTACAAAGAAGAAAATTGACTTCGATGTTTTTTCGATTACCAATAAAATTCAGCTTTCCGGTGGAACGAAATGAGAGCGAACATTTTATGGTGAATATTAGTAAAATAAATGGTAAAACAGTACAAAATAAAATGGAAAAAATAGTTAATATATCTAAAATAATTCAAATTCGTATGACATATCAATTATCACTTATTATTTTGTTCAGGAAATATAATTTCAAACCACATAAAGTGTGTTATCATCGAACAGTTTGCATATATGCTGGCACATAGAATAGCACAGTATAGACTTGCATGTCACCATTTCCCTGTTCCGTGAAAATTAGTTTTATCACAATATGCTTATGTGATGATTTCACGTCAATACGTCACCGTTTTAAATTAAACAACTAATCCATGTTCGCGTATTAATTCTGCTATTAAAAACCGTATTTGAAATTTAAAAACCACCTTCCAAAAATTGCCCTAAATCAACTTGTTTTATAGTTCACTTTTCACTGTTAAGCAGTGTTGTTTTTTATATCGACGACAGGATCAATTTATTTAGGCACGCCAAAATTTTAATTATAATTTGAGTGTGAATCTTCATGAAAAATAAAACCTGTCCGCATGAATTGCAAAACATAGGAGCCAAATGCAACTTTACTCCTTTCTAAACAATTTTAGTACGTTGAAATTAATACGTCAACATTCTTTGGTTTCTTTTAACGTTTTCACTTTTCATATTCTTATATCATGTCAATCCTTTCATGTTCCAGATTTTTATATTTTATCGATGTTCTCACTTTTCGTACTTCTATATTATATGAATGTCCTCACTTTTCATATATTTTTATATTACGTCAATGTTCTCACTTGTCACATTTTTATACATCTTTCCACTTCTTCACATTTCTCCCATCCATTTCTGTCGTAAACGCATAAAATCCGCAATCCGAACACAGTGCATCTTCCGATTAAGATCCAATGATTTCCTACAAAGGTAACTGCATCACAATCCCAACAATTGTAAAATAAGAAACGTGAAAGCGGTCGCGTTAACCGGCTCGGTGCGTCCAGTATACAAACCCAAGAAAGCCCAGCAGCGACAGGAACAAAGGAGGTCATCATTCGGGAAGCCTAGAACCGGGCCAAAGAGCTCGGACACCCCATCAACAAAGTGCGACGCAATTGTGTCGAGCCCCAGAAAACCTCGCGAAACAAGAGAAACGGGATTTGCGCGTTGCCCGCGGTCAGAGGGTTAAAGAAATTATGACAATTGAGTAAGCATCCTATAACGGGGACCCGATGACATTTAGCGCAATGTGACATGCTGATCCCCGGGAAGGTAGTCTCTCTCCGGGTGATGTACAGTGTGTTGTTGTCCCCGTACGTTTCCCCACACATGCATCCGCGTGCATCGTGCGCGTTAAATGAGGATCCGTGTAACCCCCCTTTCAGGTCCCTCTGCCACTGTGTCACCATCTTGTCGGCTCTCTCCCTCGCACTCTGCCCGGCAGCCTTTCCACCTTTGCCATTTCTCTCTGTCGCTCTGTGTCCCATGTGCGTCCTCTTAGGAACACAGTGGCTATCGTTACTTAGGCAAACGGTCGTATTGGTGATGCCTCCAGGGGTATATATACGACGAGCGCTGCGGGGCTTGATAAACACTTGCCCATCAGCGATTACTGCTGCACCATGTATACGTCACTGGTAAGCGCAATTAAGGGAGTAGTAACGCACCGCGAAAAGAGTCGGCTCGGCTCCGACCGAGGATTCGGGGGTGCGCTCGTGGGGACGGAAGTCACCGACAATCGGTCTTCAGTGAGCTTGCGATTTGGAGGATCGTCGAGTGCCGGGACCGCGATGTTGCGTATCTGTGCGTGATCCACAACCGGGACCCCTGTGAAACGTTACCTGTGATTTCTTTCCTTCTCACTTGCCACTCCTATCCTTTGTCGCGGTTCGTTCGGTCGAACGGTTCCCGGGAGTTGATCGACGATCGAGGTGAGTAGGGTGAACACGAACGGGCTGGATAGAGCGCAACGTGTACCTCCCGGGGCTGTGCTGGAAATATTAGTCGGTCTGTGTCTTCGTGGTAGAGGGTACATCTTTCCTAGTAACCCAGCTAGATCTTCTCTTGGTAGTTCAGTTGTTCGAAGCACCTGCAGTTCCGTAGTAGCTCTTTTAAACGCGGGAATCGACAGATTAGGTAACTTCGTATGAAATTGTTCGAAGGCGTTAGCAACTTCTTTTTCATAAGCTAACAAATTATTTGGAGCCGTTCAATTTGAAGTCGCGGCGTCTTCTTCTGGAACGATTACTTCGGAGAGAAGTTATCGGGCTTCCTTTTGTGCTAATGTCGGAAGCGAAATGGTCCGAAGAAAAATTTGTATACTTGTTAGCACGTTGTTGATTTTCACGATTCTGGTAAAACCAGTAGGCATATCTCGGGTGTTGTAACATCCGTTCGTCGATGCATGAACGCAGGTTTTTTTCGAACTATGGTGTACGATTTTAACGGCGTCTAATACTGGTTTCGCGGTAGGTTAAATTTATTGCAAGCACATACTGCTAGTTATTCGAACGACCGGTAAAGTATTCGCCAGCTCCATGATGCAACGTAAGAATTGAATGCAATTTTTATCATCACTCTGTAAAACATTTTGTTGAAAAATATAGTCTGGTGTTGCTTGTTTCACAACCCACGAGGTAATATAGTTTCTTGAACATTCGACGTACGATATTGTAGATGCTCTGGTAATGTGCATAAACGATAACAATTAAAATAAATTGTTACACTAGATAGGTATTTTAGTAACAGCTTCTAATAGTTCAGTTGCAAATAGCTTCTACCGTCTTTATCGTATTTATTTTCATCATTTTTGGGACGTGTTAGTTTCGTCGAAGTCCTTGCTGTCATTAATTTATCTTCATTCTTTTCGCAGGTAAAATCTTTCCGTTACGTTTCAATTGTTCAACAAAATATGTTAGTGTCCGACATTAGGCGAGTTCTCTATTTCTTCGAATTCTAAAATCGTCTTCGGTGATCGCAGACACAAACTTTGTTGAATTTGTGCAAAAACCGTATTTTCGGTAGAAATGATCGGTTAACCTGTTCTGTTCACTCTGGATTCGTTGTAGATCGAGTATCGAGTCGAAAAACGTCTCAATTAACGCAAGATTGTTGATTTACGTGGTTTATTCGAAGTATTCAATATTTTCCTGTTTCGCTACTTTTGCGGCTACTAAAAGAGAATCTTCATTTGACGCGATTACAACTCGTCACTTACAACGCGTCAATTACTACGTGTCAATTACTACGCGTCAATTACTACGCGTCAATTATAACGCGTCAATTACTACGCGTCAATTACAATTCGTCGATTACGACACGTTAATTACAACGTGTCAATCACTACGGGTCAATTACAACGCGTCAATTAAAACGCGTCAATTACAATGTCTCAATTATAACATGTCAATTACAATTCATCGATTACGACGCGTCAATTACAATTCGTCGATTATGACGCGTCAATTATAACGCGCCAATTACAATTCGTCGATTACGACACGTTAATTACAACGTGTCAATCACTACGGGTCAATTACAACGCGTCAATTAAAACGCGTCAATTACAATGTCTCAATTATAACATGTCAATTACAATTCATCGATTACGACGCGTCAATTACAATTCGTCGATTATGACGCGTCAATTATAACGCGCCAATTACAATTCGTCGATTACGACACGTTAATTACAACGTGTCAATTACTACGGGTCAATTAAAACGCGTCAATTACAACGCGTCAAATAAAACGCGTCAATTACAACGTGTCAATTATTAACATGTCAATTACAATTCATCGATTACGACGCGTCAATTACAATTCGTCGATTATGACGTGTCAATTACAATTCGTCGATTATGACGCGTCAATTTCAATTCGTCCATTACGATGCATCAATTATAATTCGTCGATTGCGACGCGCTAATTACGATTCATCAATTATGACCCGTGAGTTACAACGCAATTACACAGAACGATTTCGAGCACGGTCTCCGTTCAGTCAAGCAGTATCTACAACGTCTGACCTAATAACAGCCGTTCTACCAGTGCTCGTGGCTGGCTCGAAACGAAATAGCTACTGCGGCCGAGTTTGTGACCGTTTTCGGTAAAGAGGCTGCAAGTCGGCACGCGGGTCGAGCAGCAGTCTTGCAATCGATTCGCTTAACTGATATGCGGTCTGATGTACCGTTTAAATCGCACCCGGTAGACGCGTAATTACGCGAGTATCGATCTTCCGCGACGTAATTTATAGACGTTTAAACACAATAACGTAAACAACGAACGAGGATTATCTACGATGACGCCGGCGCGCGAGAATTGCGCGGGCGAGTTTGTTCGGCTGCAACGATATAATGGCTGACAGCCTGTTCGAAGTTTCATTAGAGTTTCAACTGCGAATAATAAATTCCAGTTAAATAACAAAAATCAAAAGTGGGTCAACCGCGGTGACTGCCGCGGAATGTTTCAACGGTATTTAATAACTTCGCTCGAAATACGTGAAACGAATTTCCATTTTGTTGAAGTACGCGTGAACTAGCGTGGCCGAAGCGTACACGGTCCAGTGGGTTTGTAAATTGAAAGAAAATGGGAATAAATAGGAAACGAGCGTAATTTCGCCGTACGTTATGTAATCACTGAATTGGTCGAGTTAAATCGAGTAGGAAAGTTGTAGTCGTTCAATATGCGAGATATTGTGATCAACGAAGGAAACAGTACTTAAACAGTGCTTAGATTCGATATAGTTTTGAACGTGGGTTCGACAAACGTTGATCGATTTTCATTATAAATATATTATATCGAACAAGGCACGTTCGATGCAGCGCCAGATCTACATGATCGAATGCAAATTCAGCACACGTATCCACCCTACGCACAGCAATTTCTTTCCAAGTATATTCTATCCTCAAAAATAGATTAACACTAGAAAAGTCAAAATGATTTATCACTGATTTTTTTCTTTCACGATTACTGAAACTACAAAAATGTTTCTTGTAAACTTCATTTAGACGCGCATTATAATTAGAAACGTTTTGATAAACTTCTTTACTTAGACATACATTATAGTTAGAAAATGTTTTTCGTGAACTTCATCATATGGACACGTATAGTAATTAGAAACCCTTTTGGTAAACTTTATCGTTTAGAAACACATTAAAATTAGTCTTTGGATTTTATACATTTATGGCAATATGTGTAGGATAAACACAAAGCCGTAATAGCGTTCGAAAATTTTCAAAATATTGTTGCGTGGTTTCCAACCTGTTGAACATACTCGAAAAGGAAATTTTACCGTGTTCGATCGAGATCTTAAAATTGTGTTTTGCACAAAGTTTCACAGTTAAATTACGATAAATATCATACGTAGTACGCGAAGAAAAATTTGAGGATGTTGTTGCGTTATTTTCAACATATTGTTGCGGATATTGGTTCAGACTGTCGATATCTCTTTTGATATCGATGCAATAACAACGTTGTAACAAGAACAACGCATAGTCGGTTGACGGACTTTATCGGGAGCTCGGAATAAACATAATAAGCGTGATGTATAATTCTGTCTGCGTATTTAACTATACTGCAAGTATGCGGTCGTCCATGCAACAATATTAAAATCGTTCAAATTGGAAATACATTTTCATGTACCATTCAGAGTATACAAGGTGTCCCAAAATTATGGAACTTCCGAGAAATTAGGGGTCCCTGAGAACATTTAAAGTAACTTTTTCCTTGGCGCAACTTCGAACGCCCTCAGAAACCCTTCATATCCCGGAAGTACCATAATTTTGGGACACCTTGTATATGCCTCAGACGCCTTCTTGTCAGCTCTGCACTATAACTTCCGATTCTCACCATCGATTCGAACAATTTTCTTGTCTCCTGGTTGAGCGTTGCATCCACTCTTACGTAATTAGCGACGCTACTATTATTAGATTCTACTGTATAAATTGATTCCCTTCAGATAATATAGGGCGTATTCTACGTGGTCCTCTTATGTTAGAGTTGCCTCTTCCTTAATTCCGTATTTCGTCCTCTGAGTATGGAATCTTCTGCATTCGTACAATATGCGTTTAATCATGACCTCTTCATTGCACAACATTGTCTTTTTCGGTATATATTCGTGCGTTACTTGTCCTGTCCGAAGTCCTGGCATCATGATTTTATCCTTCCTGGTCATATTGGCGTTTGGCATCGGTTGGCAAAAGTTTTGAATTACGTCGCGTATTTTTGTTCTACTGGTGGTGGACCATATTTCGCTCCATTCTACTCTGCGGTTGATGTTAACGTTTCCTACAAAGTCCTGTCACGGGATCCGTGTTATGGTTTCGGTGGGGCAACTTTTATTTCGTATAAAGTCTAGTTATAAAACAATGCGCACTGGTCGTACTGAGGTAGTCCTGGTGTTAAAAATCGACGATCCAATCGCGTTAAGTTGATTCGCCTCGGAGTGCCCAAATTAAGATTCGAATTCGGCGAGATAGTTTTGGTTCGCCCGTACGTCGAAATTGTCGAGACTAAAGCGATCATTTGATCTTGTGTGGATCGTAGATAGCCGTGATCGCGTTGGCTGGCTGCGTGGCAGCGGCTCCTGCGGAGGAAGTGGTCCCGATCGTCAGTCAAAGCCAGGAGGGTCCGAACCCGGACGGTTCTTACAAATGGAGCTACGAGGCCGGGAACGGGATCAAGGCGCAAGAGGAGGGCCAGCTGGAGAACGCGGGCCAGGAGAACGAGGCGATGAACGCGCAGGGCAGCTTCAGCTACCCTAGCGACGACGGCCAACAGATCTCGTTGACGTATGTCGCGAACGCCGAAGGTTTCCAACCGCAGGGCGCTCACCTGCCTACAACACCCGAGATCCCGCCGCTCATTCAGAAAGCGCTCGACTGGATAGCGGCGCACCCGTCCAAGGAGGACCAGAACCAGGTGTAAACGGTACGGATGCCCATCGTCAGTGATCTCACCGAACCCCTTTTTCGTAACTCTGTTCTACCGACGAGTCGCTTCCGTCGTCGCTTCTCGCTCCTCCCACGGCTCTAACGAAACGCGTATATACTCTGGTTCAATCTGTTGTAAATATTTATTGTGTACTTACGGAGATATGTATGTTGTATCAATGTATCGTATATTATATTGTTTATTATGTATTGCGTATTATGTCGCACATGCGGGCGCAGGCATCTACCACGAGCTACGACGTTCCAGGTGATCGTTCTCGTGTATATGCCGCGGCGCATACGGAATAAACGTTGCAATTCAAGAGAGAGAGAGAGAGACAGAGAGACAGAGATGTCGATTGATTCTTTGCGACCCGACCGTATTCATGATTTCAGGCGAACTTCTCGTATTGGTTGATGGGACGATCGATTCTCTATATCGAGACAATTCAAGCATTTAAAGCCTCGCATCGACTTCTGGGTTATTAGTACACGGCAGATCTTATGCATCTACAAGGAAAATTTGTTGGTGAAAGTTTAAACAGTTGTTAGATTAACCCCTCTTGCATTATAACAATCGGACAGTAGAGAGTTTAAATAATAAAATCAATTTATATAAATTTATATAAAAGATCGTATTGACGTCTACGTCTGAGTTATCAGTACACAGTGAGTTTGATGCATTTACAAGGGTGGATGCAACTTAAAATAGTGGTTAGATGAATCTCTTGCACTATAACAACGACAGTTTAAATAAAATCCGATAAAAGATTGTATCGATCTAGATTTTATGAAACAACAATTGTTAACCTCGAGATCGCCACAATTATCAGCAGTTTTGTTATGTCTTCAGAGAGGAGAAATCCGAGTGAAAATTGTTAAAAATTACTCGAGGTGTGCAAATTACGTGACTCGCCCTGTGCGTTAGATGCTTCGTTGGTGACATTATACTGTAACAATGCATAATAACAACGAATCAAAGTTCATATATAAAGATTTCATATATGATCTACTAAATATGAATGCCATTCATTTTTTCTAAATCGAAATGAATTCGATTAAAACCATTTATGGAGTAGAGGATAATAATTATTATCTTGGATGATGATGAGGCAGTTTAGTCATTAGTGATGATGTGCCAATTGTTATTGAATGGAGTACGGCTAATCTGTTCTATTTTTTCTAAACAGAACTGTTGCCTTCTCTATAACTAAATCGTTTCATAAATTTTAAAACTGCATATAAATATTTAAAAAATGAAGGTATTCCTCTCTATCATAGGGTATACCCTGCCATGATGTCTAAGCAATTTTACATTTGGACAAGAGACAATCGTAAATTAATTTTTTTTAATAGATAGCGTTAATGTATGCCCTATGCTTTTACCTAATAATACAAATGCTAAATCAGTGTTCCCTGTATTTAAAAAATTATACATTTCATACGTGAGTTATCTAAAAACAGTGCTATTAACACGTCGATTGCCGCATTTTTATTGCGATATGTTAAACAAATTGAATGTTACTGCGATTTTTAAAATACAAAACAGTTCAATTAATATTTCTTATGATATATTTATAACTTTCTAATCATGTTTAGATGACCAATTAAATAACTTTGGTGTCGTGGGAATTTTTTAAACTAATTACTCGATAACTTAATTATTTTTCTCATCATTTAAGTATCAAAATCTAGTTCCTCAAGAAAAATGTTTTCGATACTTCGAGAAACTGTGATCCGCGAATGGTTAAACGCTGCTGCTCCTTCGACTCGGTGCATAATGTAAGATTCGAAAATAAATTCCAGAACTCAATCGGGGTCTGAAGATTTATTTTAAATCAAGCGAGCCCCGGTTAAACAGCACGGTCAGCCGCAATCGAGATGCGAACGGTGAATCGACGCAACAGTTTACTCCCCGTTTGGGAAAGCAAACTGGACTATCTGTTAACGTCAAGTTTAATCAATGTAACTTTATGTCAAGACCCTATTTATTCTTTGGCTTGGAATTCGTCCAGTTCAGGCTGAATTTACGAACTGAACTAGATCAAACAGAAACGCAGATCGAGTTAAATCTAGTTTACAAACACGTTAGCAAAAGGTAGGTCAGGGTAGGTCATTTACGGATGTAGCTTGCGCTGAACAGAGTTCCTGTGTAAACGCGCAACTTCGATTTACATTTTGCATGCCAACTCTTTTCTACTATCCACGATTCATCAGCGACTATACGTATTGCTCCCTTAAAGGAGCACTTTTATCGTTTAAACCGATAAGCTGTGCTAGCTTCTCTACTTTTGTGAAATTCTCCACTTTTATACAACTTCTTATGAAATGACATAAACGAAACACGTTTTCATTGTCAAAAGAACTCGATCAGACGTCTATAACGTTCACCTATTATGTGCATATTAAGAATTTTTTTAATTTCTGGTGTCAGAGTAAATGAGGTCGCAATTGATTAATGGCTTATTCATTTTGCTGAAAATTTGATCCAGTTACACACAAAATCAAAACTGATTCATTTAAAATAATCGTAAATAAAAAATAGAAAATATCGTAATTTTGAACATTCGTAAACGATGACGTAAATAAATGAAATCCAGTAAATACTGATTATCGATGCAACATCGAAAATTATATTCGGTAGGGTTTACGGAAAATATTTTATCATACATTGCAATTAAATAATTACATAAGATCGTACCAACTACTTAGAAGGATTAAGAATAATTTACAATTTCATTAAACAATGTTCAGTAAGAATTTAGAAAGTAATAGTAAGTAATGTCGAGCATATGTGCATGTAACAATCCTGTATTTGCTGAATTTAAAGCATTAATAAAGAAATAACAAGAATTACTAACAACATGATGACACCATAAAAGCGAGAAAATTTTCTATTTTTTCTATTTTTTGCACTTTCACGATTAAAAACGGTTTTGAATTCTGTGCATTTTGTAACCCTATACAAAAACCATTCTCGTAGCTCATCATCCATCTACCGCACACCTCACCACGAACCTGTCAATCTTCCCGGCTTCAGGAACACTTTCTAAAGCATTTTGTTCGTTAAAATTCGATCAACATTCACAATGAGCGATCACGGACAACACGGAACGTGCCGAGGCCAGAAATCTGTCACTCACTTCGAGCAGACGGAAAGATCAACCACCCAAATGGAATAATGTATCGGCGATTTTCCAACTCCTACACAGATTCATTGACAACCCAAAGGAACGCAATTTCTCGAAGCAACCTGATCTGTTCTTAGTTCTGTGAAGTTCTCGCTGATTTACGATAGAAAGTTCCGGCACGAGGCAGTGCAGCGTTTTAAGCACGTGCCCGTTGTAGATCAGTCGTGCCATAGTTAATCAATCACGATACTGCGGCCATACAGCTGGTATGTCCCTGTGTAATTTATTTGGAGATGCGCGTCACGTATGCGGCGTAAACTTATTCAACTTTGGGAGCCTTTCGTTGCCCCGGACACATCGAAATGTCACTCGTTCAAATGAACCTTTTGACGACAGACTAAATTCATCGGAAATATGTCAAAACGAAGCATTCTTCTTCGCTTCACTGTTTTATCCAAAGGTGGGCAAATTTCATTCCAAATAATAAATAACAAATTACAAATTAAATTAATATTTCACTTGCAAATAATAACTGTATTTTTTATTTAATTAAAAGTCATTTAGACAATTCCACAAATAATGTATTCATTATTTCTCATTTGCAAATAATGGGGCGCTAACATTTAAATGATGGAAATAGTATTCATGTACTACAGAAATACGATATGAAGTGTAATTATTTTTATGGACAACTGAGAAATTATTTTTGCTAATTATATAATTTGTGATCGTACACATATAGCAATAGTTTTATACATTTTTTCTTGCAGATAGATATTTACAACGTTAATTTTATAACCTTTACACTGCTAGCATTGCATGTAATGTCTGTGATATTGAGTTGTTGCAAAAGTAATTTAGTTTTCTTGTAAGCTATTTATTTATGGATATGATCAGTGGATCATCCTCCCTGCATTCTTTTATAATTATAATTCCATTCTAATTTCATCGAACAATTTCATTACGATGTAGAACATGGGAATTACAATTATATTTTCGATGCATAGAGGAGATCGAAGACAAAGGGGTAAAGAAACGCGGACTTATTTTTCGCAACGCTAATCTACAAGATTTAGAGTTCAATCTCTCAATAGCCACGCGAGCAGCGCATTGATGATATCGATGTTAATTTGTTCGATTCGAAGTTGAAAACTCCCGTGCACTTTGATCCGTTTCCACGCAACGCTAAAGGGAATCGACGACGATTGTGCGACGATGCAGCGATCCTTGGATCGGCTACTCCCACTGCGGCATTGATTTCGCAACTCTAACGCAACGCGTTGGAAATTTTTGCGACGCTAAAACAACGCGTAGAAGAATCCTTGCAACGCTAATTTTTCGAGATAGCCTAGCGACAGGAGCTGTCCACAGCCCCTTGGAATCCACCCCGGATTCCTACGCTACGCATCATCCACCCGCTTGAACGTCGTAACATCAGGACGGATGCGTCCAGGACAATGGTTCCGGCTCGCGGAATGAAAATTCTACGAGCCGGTCGCCTCGGACATAGACCGAGGTCTAATAACGCTGTCTTCTTACAGAGAGATGGAGTTTCACAATTTTATGCTGCGAAGTCCGGTACCTCCGGCTATCTCGTTTATAAAAACGCGTTTACAATCGCTACGCTAACTTAACCGTTGTTACTTCGTCTCGCGACTCTAAGGAAACATCGTAAATGCCACACTGCGGAGGGTTGCAGCTACAGCATGGGCTCTAAACAACGCGATTATTCTCGCATCGCTAACTTTGAAATCGATTCAAAGACAAGCCGCGATAGTTCGTTTTGCGACGCTATGATGCAGCGGCGAGTTCTGCTCGCAATTAACACTACTGCTACAACTGTTATTTCTATAAACGAGTGCAGTGGCAAACTGGAAATAATAATAAATTGGCCTCTCTCGACAGTTTGTCGGAGCTTACTTGTTTGTAAAATATAGAACGAGAAGATTAATTAAAGAATTTATTTGACTAATACTATCATCATTTTTTCGTGATTTAATGTATTAGAAAGTGTCCTAATGTTTTGTAATGCAACAATGCTCACATAACAATGGACAGTATATATCGTTTATATATTTGGAAAGAGGAAAAGAGTATTTGGTGTTTTATGAGAAAAAGAAAACGGTGAAATATTTTTAACTCTTCTATTAAAGTTTAATGTTCACTCAAAGCTACTTTTTTATTTTTTATATACGCCTAAATAATG